AGGGAAAGACGTGCTTAGAAGGGTATTCACGGCATGATGGATAATTAGGACGAGGAGCAAGGATTTCGCTTGACAACCTAGATCATCAGCTAGGGTGAAACGATAATAGATACATCGACTGTTAAATGAACGGCTGTATGCCTTCTGTTCCCCTTCCTTCTCCTGCCCTTTCTTCACGTCCCTATAAAACAAAGAGCACTTGGCTTCAATGGCACATTCAACGTCTTTCCGTCTCCGCGTAATCATATTTTCTTCTTCCAGTAAAGAGAAAACCATAACTGTTATTTAATTCTACGGAAGTAGAAACACTTGGAAGAATATATAATTAGGGTGAGCACAGAGTGCACTGTATGCTTTCCGTATCGGTCATACATTCATTATTACATGTCTGTCATTACAAATCCATATTACTGTATAGTATTTTTGTGTACACTTCTTTCTTCTTTTTGCATCAGTGGTAAAACATGGAAAGAAATTGTGAAAAAGGAGGGTCAGGGAAAAGGGGGTAAACGAAAGGGAGATAGAGAATGGAAAAAATCAGATAAGAAGATAAAGAAATATTAGTGAAATATATTTGAAATCCAGATGTAATAAAATATTTATCACCATACCTTTAATCAAATCGATGATATTATTCAATGTGGATACGGTATATGTATTGCCAATGTTATTGACAAAACTAAAACGAAATAAAATAATAATGATCTATGCGAAAAAGAGAGTTTTATTAGACTATGCAAGATACGTTAGATTTACGTACGATAGAAAGAAAGTTGAAAAATCGAAGAAGATTAAAATCCAAACAAATACATGATGAATTTGTTTTGATCAATTACGGAGTTCAATTCGTTAGCCTTAGCACAATATACGCATAATCTGAAAAGGACAATTATTGCTTAATATTTAATACAAGTATCGAAATATAGCATAATATATGGGCACATTATATTTTAATAATGTTTTATTTGAATAATAAAATCAATTGCATATCTTACTTTATTTTCACATTTACTAAGTTATTAGGTGATTATTGATTATTTAATTTATTATTTCGTGATGCCAAAAATTTATAAAGCCATAATTTTATTGACAAATGGAAGATATATATATATAAAAAAATATAAAAGTTTAAATATAAAAGTACAAACTTCGGGAAAAATATAGAAAGGAAGAAATTTAAAATAATTACGTGTACGAAACACTTTGCAAGAAACTCGAATATTATTTTCAAAATCTTAAGCATAGTTACTTTTCTCCTGGAAAAATTGATTAAAGCATTGTTTTATAAGAGATTGATTGGATTCTTGAATACTTTATTGGATATTTAAATATTTATAAAATATGCCGTTTGATATTTAGAACGGATGTCCATCTAATATTTTGTAAATCACTCGAATGATTAAATTTAAATGATAATTTAAATTATAATTGGTTCAATTAACTTCCGTTATAAAACTTTGGTTTTTCAGCAGAAACAAACATCGATATTATATAGGTAATGTTATTATTTATCTTTTTTCCCCATACATAAGAGGGTAGAAAGAAAGATAGAAAGAAAGAAAGAAGAAACGAAAAGAAGAAAAGAATCCATATGACCTATAGCTTAACCATTAGACATACATGTATAGATGTATGTATCTCGATAAACTTTAAGGCAAATTGATAAATTTATTCACTATTCTTTTCCCTTGTACCTACAGGCACAATTTCGATACAGCTCTCAGAATTAATGAACGATTTTGCAAAAATTCTTCTTTTTTATGATAATTCATTTTAGATGGACACTTAAGAAACTGGAGTTTATCGCAAGGAATTTAAATAAATTAAAAATAAAATGTTATATAAAATATAAATGTTTATTATAGTAATATACTAAAAATATACCAAAATATTTAATTAATATTTAATATATAACATTTCATGCGAACAAATATTATCACGGTGAAAAGTGTTTTATAGTTTTACTGTTATTTTATACGTCAAATAATATCAAAGACAGTTTGGTAATAATACGTATTTATACCTACTGACAAAATTAATAATCAAGTAAGTAAAGTAGGATGGAAGTAAGTAGAGGAAAAGGAAATCGAAAATTCTTTCACTGTTTTTGACACACGAAACAGTTGTCAATGTTTTCTCCCATACTTCCCTTGTTCATTAAATTCGATAAATGCTTTCACGTTTGTAAACATTTAAATGTCCTTTCGAATAGATCGTAATACGTATTGGTATGTAGTTGCACAAAATATATTATTTCTACATTTCCATAAATATCATAAATATCATAAATTTCACCATAAATTTGTAAGAGGATTTGCTGTAAGAGGATTTTGATTAGGAATATACTTGATATGCGATCAACGCACAGATAAAATTGTTTGTAGTATACATGACATAAAATCTGCTTAATGTCCTTTAAGCATGTAAAATAACGTTCAATCGACTTTACTTCGGTTAAATAAAGTGAATATTGCTTAAATTCTGTTTCAGATCTACAAAACGAAATGTTTGCCATACAAACTATCCGCACAACCATTGTACTGCTTACCATTGTTCTTCTGTAAGAATCTTGAAAATTTACAGTTTACTTATGGGGACAAATTGATTTTGTTTCGAATTTATGTAGAAAGCATGTCGAACATTAAACCTTTGAAACACATGTTACGTTACTTGCGATTCAATTACGTGTATATCAGCTCTTATTTTGCAACTTTATTTTATTTCGATAATAAGAAAATATTTCACTATTTATATAGATAAGAATATACGAAAGTATATGAAAGGGTAAGTTAAAATTCACGAAATCGTGCACATCGTGACACGGAAATTCTCAATTATACGAAACATGGACATTAACATGAACGTTTAATAACGTCAACACGCTATATTATTATAGGCAATAATAATATATTTGATTCGAATTAGGCTCGACAAATGTTCCGGTTATCCATCGATACGGGAAAAACAGGGGATAGCATTTTATTGCACGGGATGCGGTGATTTTTGTCACAAATGTGAATATGGTACCGTTATATCGAATGCTTGCGGTATTCGGCAATGTGCAAAGGCGAGTGATCTTAATGAATCCGTGTAATCTGGAAGTTTTAAGTAATTTCGATAACAATCGTATTCATTTTCCCAGGGACCCGATGAATCGTGTGGAGGACCGAGGGAACTTTACGGCATTTGCGGCGAAGGCATGCGTTGCAACTGTAACAAATGCGTGGGTTGTAGTTTAGAAAAATTGAACTGCTCCGTAGACCAAGACCCTTGTTTACCGCATAAAAGCTCAGAATCACGCGATATGAATAGATTTGAAAGATGGTCTACTGCCATGTAAATTGATAATTATCTATCGTTAATCGGACGGTTACTTGCCTATATAAGCGAACAACTGAAATCTTTTCAAATTTGACAAATGAACCAGTGGAGAATTAAACGCATAACACTTTTACCGATTTTACCAATATTATTAGATACACGCGTAAGATGACAAAGGAGTATATACGGTAACGATAAAGATGATTTTAAACGTCGAACAATAATGCGAAGATTAAGTGACAAATGCGAAGATGAACAAACCAAGTATCGACATTTGTAATTTCGTATGTAATCATCAAGGGTAGGAAAGGGAAAGGAAAAAGCAAAGAAGCAGGTAAAACCAAAGGGGAGGCGAATTAAAGAGAGTGAGAGATTGAGTGAATGAGCAACTGAATGACTGATTGTGAGTAACACACAGAGCGGGGAGGGAAATGTATACCGGAAACAAGAGAAGAAGAATGTGGAAAAAGTTAGGCGAATGCATGACGGAGACGGAGAGAAAAGGCGATTATAGATAGTGAGACATTTACAAGGTTCTACTTCTACTACTGTTACTGATTTCTTTCTCTTTCGATTAAATTACGTTTATTTGCAACAGTTTATTTGAAACAGTGCTTAAGATATATTTAAATTATCCTAAATGTTGGTTTGCGTACGTACATGGTTAGCACATTATTCATAACAGTTGATAAAGGTTAAGCGAGGAAAAAGAGAACAACGTTAAGCGCCGGTTTTGCCATTTTACTGTAAAATTAACGGAACAAGAGGAAAGGAAGAAGAAAAAACTAAGCAGAAGCGAGAGGAACGGGGAGGGGGGATTTTAATTAGATACATTCGTTTTTATTGTTCGTAAATATGTTCGACTGGTAAATTTGCGTATATTATTAAAACAAGCGAGAACGTTAAAGTGTTATGAATACAAATATTATGATTTTAAACGAAATATTTTTACATTACATGCTGTAAAGACGAATCTAATTGTCTCATATATTGTATTAACGCGTGTCTTACATTTCGTAAATAAAAACAAAACGAAATACCTTATGCACTTTTCGATGATCTTATTAATGTTACCCGACATTACTAATTATCTTCTTCCTCTGCGTTCAATTTATTTATCATTCGGAAAAATAAAAAAAAGGAAAGAAGAATGAAGAAAGAAGAAAGAAAACAAAGCGCGTTGCTTGATCGTGCAAACGCAATAATTTGCCTGTTTTAAATGTAACGTAGAATAAGCTATGCACGTATACACGTATATGTACAGTAAACGATGTTACCAAAAGCATCGCGGGAACAATTTTAGAAGTCTACATGCAAGCAGTTTCATCGCAAAAGCAGTAAACGTATATAACCAGTTTATTTTTGTATACCTCCAAGATTGGCATCGGTGATGCAGGTATGTATGTATTAGAAAATGAAGTACATACCAATGATATCACAGTGAAATATTTTCATCTAACGTGCATTAAGACATTAGTTTTAAGTTTAAGTTTAAGAACGGTAAATTAATTACCGATAAAGATGATTTTTCATGCTTGAACAAAATGTTACAATAGTGTCAATGTCGTTGCCAATATCGTTAATACTCACTGATGCTATTTCGATTGTTCCTTGATAGTTACGAGTCCATTCGCGACGTACGAATCACTCTCGCTGCTAGCACGATAAGACATTAATTTAATGCTACATTGTTATTATAATTTAATTGTCGACAAGTGCAAACACATTTGAAGATTGCTATAACTCATTTTTATTTTACAATATTCTTCTCGCAATCACTTCTGTTTATGTAAAACAAACAATTAGAATAATTTCGATCGTTATTCGCACTTTTTAGAAATTTTACGTAAACACGCGCGTGCGTGCGCGCTAGAAGAAACAAAGAGATACAAATAAATAAATAAAATTTATGGTATATCATTGTTTGTACTGTTTAACGAAATTTGTAATTTTAAATTCCAAAATTTTCCTCGAATTCTGTAGCTGTTTTCAATTATCGCGAACCTTGGCTATATCGTTTGTTCGTCTCTTTTCCACCCATTCGATTTCTCCTTCAATTATTATCATCGACTTGCCTTTTAAATATTCTGGTATCGCTTTCCCTTCTTTCAAAATCAATAATTGTCCCTTCTTCTCTAAATATATAATTATGTTACATATCTTTAATATATTACATATTAAGCTTTAATTGCATAAAAGTCTTTCAATAACTGAATTTTCGTTCATATTATTCTCATTTTCTATCATATCATTCATGATAGTTTACAACATACGCGCGAAACATCATATGATGCTTCGCACTCTTTTTTAACCTTCCACTTGATCTACGTTGATAATTTATCGAATCCCAATTTTCATTAATGGGAATAGCGAAGGAAAATAAAATTTAAATTCACGCTCTCCATTTTAATAACGAAATAACATTACATATTGATTTATTTCATTATTCGTATCAATCGCATCTCTAATGTAAGGCGACAAGAGTGCATACAAAAACCCTCTTTCGCAAAACCAATCGTTCGGGAGTGAATATAACATGTATAAGAAAATAACGCGATCCGCACTGTATAGCGTAATTTGTCGAAAATGCCATAACACTTTCCTATTTTAAATTACGCTTACGCATGCGTAGTTCATACATGTGATACAGGAAACATCACATACATTTCATACCGATCTCGTTTTTCTCTATGTATCTTGTTTATGTGTTCCCTTTCTCTTTCTGCTTTCCACCGAATGAATGTAGTTCTCGTAAAAAGTAGGCACGTGTGTATATATGCTAGCGTATGTGAAAAAGTATGTGCAAAAACGGCATATTTAAGCATATTTTTACTTGTTTTATTCACGAAAATAAAGCCAACATGTTAATAATAAGAAATTGAAATGAAAATAAAATTTTTTAATTAACATTATAATCCTAATATCGACAATGCCACAATTAAAACAATCTAGTTACCGTCTCTTTTTTCAAATTAAACATTATATTTGTACAGATATAATTATTTTAAGAACGAATATAATTGTTACATAATCGGAAATCCTACTACCCTGTGATTTTTTACTTTTCATTTTTCCCTTTGTCGCATACCTTATCTTTTACAATTTTCAAAGGGTTATCCGAAGGATTAGCAGAATCAACGCATCTATCTATATACGAATTGTCATTTTCGACAAATCGGTCTGCTTCATTCGCCTCTGATGATGACGCATCGAGTTTATTTTTCCTTTTATCTTTAGCACAATCAAAGTCATAGTGATCATCAGAAGAAAACGAACTTCTTTCTTTTGTAAAATTTGCATCTGCTTTATAAAACGGCAACATCTGTTCGTTCCCATTGTCAAGATTCGATATTTCTTCTATAATGATAGGCTCTTGTGAATTATCAAGTGCTAATGGTTCACGAAGATCATCAGTATCGAAATCCGAATTTGTTTTAGCATGTGGAATAACAGCTTTATTAGTTGTATGTACCTCTTTAAACATTTGCTCGATGTGAATGATACAAGGAGAAGTATTTAAAGGCAGTTCAGTCCAGTCCGATTTGTTAACAAGTAAATTAAAATTTTTCAAAAAACCAATGCCACGAGGAACAGTTGTCCGAGAAGATTTGTAATCGGAAAATATCGTGCTCGGCACCCTTGTATATCTTCGATTTCTGAGTATGTTATCTGGTAGAGCAACGCGACCATCTGTTGTTTTATGTACAGCTTTTAAATCGTAAATGTTCATGCTGGAAACACTTCTTGGTATTCCAATAAATGGTAGTGGCAAAGAATCATGAAATTCTCCGGTATGCCGTGAACTGACACTTTCTACGTCTTCCTCCTCTTGTCGATTTTCTAAAAGTTCTATTTCTATTTCATCCTAAAATATCAACAAGTCTATTTTACTAATTTAAGAATAAGAATAGAAAGGCTCATAATATGTAGCATTCTATAATAATTGAAGGAATTTATTGTTTAATTGGGGTTATAGAATGATTTTGTACAACTATTGTAATACATCTTACTTGAAAAAAAAGAAGGGAAAATGACATAAAAGGAAGATAAAAAAGCGCTAGAGTACTTGCTTTTCTTTCACCTCCTTCTGCTTCTGGTTCACTTCCTCCTTCATTTTCTTCTCCATCTCCTCTACCTCTGTTTCCTTCTTTTTCATCTTCTTCTTCATCGTCCACTTGAACATTGTCAATCTGTTCTTCACCAACATACTCTTCGATTGGTGTTTCAGGCGTTGATAGTTGCACCGATGAACGAAATTTAATTGCAACATCATCCGTTTGGTTTATCATATTATTCCTCTGATATTTACAAGTATTTCCTTCAACTGCTGATACATCGAGAATCAAATTTTCTATTAATTCTTTGGCAATTTCCTCCTCCATACAATGAGAATCTTCTTCCTTCTTCTTATCATAAGAAAACGTCTTAATAGAATCATCATTTTCTAATTTCGATGTTGCAATGTACTTATCACTTTCGTTTCTAATTTTTGTTACTTGATCTTTGGATTCGATAAAAAATTCTTCTCGAAGCAATTCGTTTTTCGAAGAAAAAGTTTCGTCGATTAGCTTTTCCTCGACGGGCAAGTAATCCGAGGAGGATAAGGAAGTATTTTCACTTTCGAGAAAAGAAGTATTATTATTTTCTTTTTCCGGTTGAATACCATGATCTTTTCTATCCGAATCGCTTTTTTCAATCGAAGATACTGTTGTATCTGGCAAAGAATCCAAATTTAATTCAGGTACTTGTGGTCCAGCCTCTTCGAATGACAATGAAAAATTTCCCGAATGATCATTGAACATTTCTCTTCCCTGTTCTTTCCTTTCCCTCGAAGATTTTGTAGTACTTACTGCAAGATCTTCACTCCAATCTTCTTTTCCCTTGATATGTTCTTCCGTCAGGGAATCATTAAGATCGATATTATTCTGTTTCCGATTACTAAAACCTGCCAAATTTGCTTCGTACTCGATACTTTTCTCATATTTCATCGATTCAGGCATGTTTACCGAATAACCAATTACTTGCCTGATGTTATGCTGCGTAACATTGCTTGACAATTTATCGCTTTCATTTTCTTCCTCCTCCTTAATATTTCCAAGGTCTTGACAAGCAGTCATTCGTTCAGCAGTGTTTCTTATGTCACATAAAAAATGAGCATCAATGCTTGTCGAATAATCAATGACATTTTGACGAATGTATTCTCCAAACGGGTTCGCCTCGTGCCAATACCCTTTTCCAAGTTCTTTTTGCGTTTCAAGATATCCCGATAAAATCGGTTCTTTCAAGCGAAGGATTGCATTGTTCATCAGAATTTCTTCTACTTTACAAACGTCATCGTCTATTTGAAAAATTTTATCCGGTATGATTACAGTGGTTACCGCTTCCGGTATTTCACAAGGAGAACCTTCGGTAAGAACATAACAAGAATGCGCGTCGCCTCTCTTAAACTCGTTATGTGTTTCTTCAATGTTCGTGACGTTTAATGTACTATTAATGCCAGTACTGATGAAAATTTCCGAATTATCGGAAAAGCTTCTTCTATTCCCTATCTCACTCTCCGCCGAATCAATTACTCTATTATCCTCGATATCTTTATCGTCTTTCTTTACCCAACCATCGTCTCTTGGGCATATCTGCCGGTTTGTTTCGCCGACAAGAATTATATCGTTTCTATGTACGCAATCTAGTTTATCCGATTCTCGGTTTTCCTGATTCGACGAAGATCTAATCAAACACGATCCTTCGGATCCATTAACGCAAGGCGGAATTGTCCGAGATGAAGCTAGCGTATTTTCAATACTTTTTTCAACCGTTTCAATTTCAATTAACTTCCTTTCGAGTTCATTCGGTCGACACTGTTCTTGTCCTGCCGCCTTCTCGTTTTCCACATGTTCCAACGAATCTGGTCTCTGAGAAAGATCAATTGAATCGGGCGTAACGTTTAAACTGTCTCTGAAGAACATTTCCTCCGTATCCGCTTCTTGTGACTTTGAATATTGCCCAATTTCTTTCGACGCTTCTGTCTTATCAATATGTCTTGTACCGTCTTGTACAATTATGTTTCCTGTACAAATAAGGATTGCATTCTCTTCGGGTTTACTGCCTTTTAAATCCTCGCCTTTGCATTCTGTATGAATTACTTTCATACCGTAGTCGCAGTTCGTAGTTTCAATATTTCTTGTTAATTCAAACTCTTTGTCCGCTTGATCATTGTAATAATGATTCGAACTCGAATCCTCATTATCATGATGATACATTGTTTGTTCGTTTACTAACCAAGCATCCATATCGTTCGATAAAGACGGTAATGTTAAATTACTCTCTTTCTTAATCGTCTTTAACCCGTCACTCGAGATTGGTGGTAATATCAAATTACCTGCATTGCTTTCTATATTAGATCCATACACGTTATTCTTTATACATTTCCCAGAGGGTTGTCGTGTAACAACTGATGGAAGAATGACTGAAATGGTTCCATCAATATCAATAGCCCCTTTATTTACGGCATCATCAGGGGTATCGCTTTGCTGTAAAATTTCTTCTACTTCGTTCCCTTTCGAATATTCTTCATTCATCTTCCCCAATCGCAAACTTAATTTCTCGCTATTCTCTTTTGTAACTGAAAATTTTTTTTGCAATTTTTCCTGCAATTTTTCCTGCTGTTTGTGCTGATCTTCAAGGGTAGTTTTCCAGTGATCTCTTAAGTCTCGAGGAATTTCACCATCTGTCGTATACTGTCGTGCCGTTCTTTCTTCTGGATTGGATTTAGTTTCATTCCCGTTATTTACAAGCGATCGACTTCTTCTTCGACCAATGATTCCTACATCTACGTTCGTATCTTTAACACATGTAGAAATGTTTTTAATTTGATCAGCGCTTTTTTGTCTCATCAAATTATTCGCGTTTATATTATAACCTTTATCACATTTCTGTTTTAGGTTACCTATTGCATATTTATCCAAAGCAAAGCTATACATTGTTTTGCGACTTTCTCTATCTTCTCGACTTTTTATATTTTTCGCAAATATACTTCCGACGGACGAAGATCGGAGAAACTGACCACAAGTAAGACTCCTTAAAAATCGCGGCGAACGATATTCGGGATAACCAGAGATTATTTCCTGAATTTCTTTCCCATTTATTTCGATATTCGAAAGTTTCTCACCTTTTTCAACGCTGCTCGCGTATTTATGCTTTTTAAGTACCTTGACAGTTCGATTTATAGACCAACCACTTTTATTTGTTGTCTCCTTTTTTTTCTTCGATAACGTTGCTTTTTGCATAATTGTCGATGACACTGGTTCCTTCAGTACCATCAATTCATCGGTCAAGTTACCGTAGCTATCTCTACGAGTACAAAGATCACCATTTTTACTAACAGCAACATTATTGACATTAAATTCAATCCAATTAACGACATAATCACGTTCGTTAAATGATTTGCAATTCAGTATCTTTGGTGCGATTCCGGCTGTGCATTCTTTGTCCCTTAATTCAACTAATTCTGCAAAATGTCGAGCCGCGAATGTGTAAATATCTCGGGGCTTATGTCGTAATATTTCTCGTGCAAGTCCTTCAACCGCAGGAGCTAAGCCTTGAGGGATTCGTGGTGCGATTATATACTCTGCCTCCGTCATTTTTGTACTCAAGTTTATCACTGGTTTCCTTCGGCGTCTATATAACACGTATTATTCGCTGAATCAGTTATTCTTCATATAGAAATTACACAAATTACATTGTCACGACGAAAGCACGTTTAGACATTCATTTGCATTTTCGTATCTTTTCTTTGCATTATCTTTCTTTCTTGAAATAACAATATCTGTGTTCTTGACGTTGGTGATGAACGGAAAATTTACCCCTGCAAAAAAAACGATAAAAGATAAAAAAACATGAACATTACACGTAGCACGATGATTATGATTTACGTATCGAAAATGATAAACTCGGAATTACGTATTTGTTTATTACGCATGCACGAACTAATTTGTACATAACGTATCACAGTTATAACCCTATCAGTTTCATTTTTATTCAAAATCTATCGATTTTTCAACGATTATATATGCCAGTTGGCAAACTGAATTAATTACAAATTCACCTTTAAAGTTAAAATTAACCGTCCTCAATTTTTTCGATTACAAATAATTTAAATTCCTTGGTAACCTTAACGCAGAACGAACGGACTATTTTCTGCATGAAATCGATCGCTCGTCGCTACCAATCGCTTTTCATATTTTCTCTTCGTACACTTATTCTTTTATCACTAAACTTTTTAATAGTTTCTTATAACGTCGCAACGTGACAATATTCATTTTTAAAATATAATTAAAAATCAATGTTATTTTCACATTGCAATAGGAAATATTTTTATATGTCATAGAATATCGAAATTTGTAATACAAGACGAAGAGTAATATAACATATAAGTAATAACGATATAAATTTTTGTAGATTGTTATTAAAATTATTTAGCACTGAAATATTATTTAGTATGATTTAGCATTGAAAATTGACGAATATTTTTCAAGATTAATTAATTGTCCTGACAACTTTTTCGTTGTTTCTCAAATTCATTATATCCTTCATTTTTTTTCTTTTTTTTTTTTTTCATGTTAATTACGCTCTTTAAAAATATAATATTCCTTCTCTGTTGCAATATTATTTGAAAAAAATTGTAGGTTCTAATAAGTATTTCAAACACAATATATCATGTTTAATATTTGGAAAAGTTTTTTTTATTCAATTATGGAAACTAATGTTGCAATATGAATTTCATACAAGACAAGACAAGATTAATCTTGTGTTTTACAAAACCTTTTTATCTGTTTCAATAATGCCTAACATTTTCATTTGCGTATATATAAAGTTATAAATTCTGATTCAAGAGGATGTAACTTTATGGCAGGAATGATTAAACAATGAAGAGGTGGACCTAAATCAATGGAAGCCATTTCTTGAAGAGAACAAGCGATAATACCTTGATTATCCCAACCTATACGAGCTAAACCTACTACGAGGCTGGATTTGTCTAAGGCTGGAAAATGACAAATTTCATTTTCATTAGACTTTCCAGACATTGTTTTAGTCAAAAAAGATACTTTTCTATCATTTTACCTAATTCTTCTTTAGTTTCTTCAAATCTTTTCTCAATGACTTGTAATAGTTGTATAGCAGCTTCTGAGACACTCATAAATTGTGATGGCATATATTCCTTATTTTTTTTAGTAATACTTTCTATAGTAGGTTCCTTTACTTTGATATCTAACAAACACAATGTGTGTAGGTCTCTTTGCCTATTGGAAATAATTTTTTCATAGAAACTACTTGGTTGCCAATCGTTATTCCAATAAGGAATAGAAACAGTTTCTCCAAAACGATATAATTGTAAGCCACAACATCCTATTGCAGTCAAAATGGAAGAATTGTGTACAATATTTACCTGTATAATGAAAAAGAAATCTTTAGTATTGATTGGTAAAATTTTTCTTTATTCTTTATCACGTACCTTTATATTTTTCTCATGGGCTCGTAATATTAAGTCTGTGTGTGTGGTAGCACCAAATGGATCACCTACCACCAAGAAAGCAACATTTTCTTTCTCATCTTTCGGCAATATTTCATCTGCATTATTCTCGACTAATTCCCGATCTGCCTCAAGTATCGTACAATCATAAAATCGTTCCTAATTCGTTGAAACATGCTATTGTTTGTCTCCTATTATTAAATGAGTAAGTACAACGCATAGCAAATTCGTGTACCGTTATTAAATTATTACATAAGTTAGACATATTCAAGAAGCTAGACATATCCTTATTTTTAAACTACTTACCAAATCCTTTAAACTGATAGATAAAATCGATGTATACGATTCTAAATAGATACGATCGCACATACGAATTATTTCAAGACCCTTTACGGTTATATCTCTTGCATCACCAAGACCCAATCCAATTACATGCAACATTTTCTACAAATTTTCAAATTATTCGTTGATTTTTCAATACGTTTATATATCAATACCACGAATTCAAAAGACTATCTTGATCTTTTTCCCCTTTATGAAAATGAGCTAGGTGAAATAAATTAAAATTATTTGTATTAACAATCACCTAATATCAGAACAGAAGAGTGAAAAATATGTATCTACTATACGTGTCGTATAACATATAATTTATACGTATCGAGTGAAGAACACATAGATGGAGCACATGTGTATTTAGGGTATTTTGTATTTATTACTATTATTTCACAGAACATGGAGACATTTTTGTATCATTCACATGTGTGTCGCAAACGCATGCACTGATAATATTGAGGCGATCGTTAATTGCTAATTATGATTTTTACTATAGCAATCCTGTTATAAGTGTTTCGTAAGTTGTTGATATTAAATTGAAATGCATTTTAATTAAAATACAGTGTGTGTATATGCGTGTATGTGTGCGTGCACTTCAGAAATTTATATACTGTCATCTGTGTTTCTTTGTACATACTGACGCTACAATTTACATATTTTGCTTTCCATACCAAAATTGCATTAACGTAACATTGCGTGATTTATTAGTATTTCTTATATAATAGTAATATATATACATGTGTTTTTTGTGTCATTATTATTACTATTATTTGTTATTATCATTATTATATATTTGTGAACTAACGTTGAGTAAACTATACACCTGTCATTATTTTCAGTGTTTATCGTACCACTGAAATCATTTAACGAAAAATGGCATTACGACGTGTATTTATTGCATTTCAAACTGTTGGCAATTTAAGAAAAATTGGTGGAGAAATGAAACTACATTTTCGATCAAAAACAACAACACCTTCGGGTGCTATTTTACCGGAACCAAAAAGAACACGTTTCGGCTTTTTGGGTGTCATCTCCAGTGTAACAATAGGATTAATCATAGGAACTACTTTAAGCAAAATGATAGCTAACTTTCTTGAAGAAAAAGAACTTTTCATACCTTCTGATGATGACGACGATGATGATTAATTTGGTATCCATATTATTTAAAACAAAAATTTATGCTTCTATTATTAAGTGTATGCAACTTATATTCAGTATATTAATCTTCAATTTTTGCATGTGTTCCTAAAATATTCTTCACACAAAGGAGCCTCTCACAGTTAAATACATTTCGATAGTGAAATACCAAAATAGACTGCTGCCCAAGCTTTGTTCGTGAATCAAATGAGTATATTTCATTCCCACATATCGTCTTCTATTTTATGATCTACGACGATGCATGAAAAGGGACAAGATTGAGTAAGGAATTCAACCTGTGGACACACATGTTGTGTTGTGTATATATATATTTTTAGCTCAATGTTTCCTTTGCAAATCAGACATATGTGAGCTTTATCTTCTTTTTCCTCTTTTCCAGAATTTTACTTTCACAAATGTGTAAAAATCACACGATATATTGTTTATTAATTATTTTTCTTGAAAGATGGATCAAGTACATACAAGTATGTAAATGTTTAAGCATATTCTTTTAAATTGCACGTAGACAATATATATATATATATATATATATAAAAGTCTGCAAATGTGCAGATATTTTGTAAATAATGTTTCGATGAATTTAGAAATAAACACAATAAAAGAAAATGAAAACAGAAGGATATCTATATTATCAACATTATTTAAACAGGATTGTGGCTATTTAATGGTTTCAAGAATTATAATATTCTTTAATATCAGAATATTGTGTATATGGTATATAATACACACACACACACACACACACACACACACATACGCGTGAGCGTCTTATACATATATATAAATAAAACATTCTTCAATTTGTATCCATCAAATAAATTTACGTTATCAATACAAATACCCAATAATAACATGAATTTTGTGTCTTTTTCTGAATCTTATTAATAAACATTATCAAAACAATAAAAATTGAAATATTTCTTTGAATACTTTATTGAGGTGGCCGTTTATGTGAGCTCCAACCATGAAAACATTTTGTGAATCTTCGAGATTCTTTTCCTTTTGCAGTTAGGAATAATTTACGCGGTTTATCTGGTTGTTTTACTCGTAAATGCTGAATGTATACCTAAAAATTAATGTTTATTTCTATTATAAACTTACCAATTGTAATGTAATTAAATTACTTTCATTCATTTAGGAATTCTGCAAAATATTTTTACCTGAGCAGATTTATATGCCAATTTAATTTCAACTTCTGAACAACGACTCCCTAACCACAAAAATACTTGTTCGCCGTTATCGAGTATCATAATGTCGTCGTCTGCTAAGTCATCCTAAAATGTCATGAACTAGTTATAAACCTGTTATATATAACTTCATACTTACTAACACAAATTTTAGTAAATTTGTTATATACTTGACAAAAATCGGTGCATTTTTCACTGATCGTAAAATATCCTTTTTCATTAGAACATCTAAAGAGTCTAGTATAATTCATGTATTCCGCATCAGTGTCGTACGATTTTTTCCCACCAAGAGCTACCCAAAAAAAATTATCCGGTTCTTCACCTTCGTTTAAAACTTGTAGGCTTATCCATGGCTGTTAATTATTTGATAATATAGATCGTATTACACGTTTATTCGTTGAAACAAACATGGTGCAATAGATGACAAACGTACGTTGTTAAACATTTCTTCGGCAATTTCTTGAATCAAACGTGCTTCCTCGCCGTCAGCTTTAGAACCAATCCAAGCATACACTATTCCCGTTTCATCATCGTTATTGAATGGTACGTTCAAAATGTAACTACAAGACAACGTATGGACGAGTAAATCAACAAAGGCAAAATCATTTTCTTTATAAAGAAAGAAAGAGAAGAGAAAAGAAAAGACAAGAAAAGAAAAAAAAAGTCAAAGAAAAAGAAAAAAAAGAAAAAAGAAAGGCATAATCTCAGCTGTCTTACCAAAAACAAGAATTTAATAGCGTCGAATCCGCCGGTATTTGTATTAACCTGGTACACAATGCACTTCCATTACTTCTTAGGTGATAAAATTCGACCTTGTTACTACCAGGAGCTTTAGGTTGTTTGCGCTTACCATGATGAACAATAAACTTTCTTTTAAAGTATGCCAAAAATTTCAAATTTTCTTGTTGCTGATGAGTTCTAACTACTTCCAAGTTTTCGCCAAATAAAGATTTGAATTTTTTCTGTAAGCTAAATATATAATCTTATTCTTACCATTATAGAGATATCATTCACAAATAATTACAATTGCAATTATTTATATATAATTCATTGTAATTTGGTTTATCATTGATTAATTCAAAATATATATGAAATTTTCAATGACAATCTTTCTTGCGCACCTAAATGTAAATGTCAACCATCCCATATTTCCTGCATCTCTGCCTTGCCAGAAATATACTGTACATTGATAATCCTCTTCGAATTGCTCATCACCATCCTCATTTTCTGTTGTATCTAATGGCTGAGGTGATTAAATGTAAAAATATATCATGTATGACGAAATAAGAATATGTTTTTATAATCGATTCGACAAAATGAGAAAAATAAATTATTACGCACCATCCAATAACGACATAGAAATACGTAACAATCACCGCTATAGAAGTGTCCTAATTCTTCTTCTGGTAATCGTACAAATTTTTTTCCTTCCAGTACCAATGCTTCCATTCCTTCTAAATCATCATTCCATTCCGACATTAGTTGCTGAGCTTCGGTAAACGACATAGGTGGTTGCCTTGGCATAAAGAGTGCGGCTAGATCTGCCTATTGAAATTAAACTATTTTATTGGTCTGTACCGGGGAAATGAAAAACGAAGTAATCTCTTTCATGGTTTAGGTATTCCCATTTCATTTTATATATACTTTCGTTTCCTGTTGCTTAGCCCATTTTGTAAGATCTGCACCAGTTTTAGCAACTGATTCGGCAGTTCTAGTAAAATCAACTGCTATAACTTCGTCCCATCCAGCAAACTTAGATTTGAAAATCTAATTGGAAAAGTGAAATATACCGTTATACACTGAACAGAATATATCGAGTGCTCCATATATCTTTCTGAATTTAAAAAATCTATACCTGTGACTCAGTTCCTTCTTGCAATCTAGTTACCACTGCATATTCTGGCCGCTCTATCATATTAAATAATTCTTGAGAAAGTTTAACGGCAGCTGCTCGTACCAATCTTGTCGATTTTTTACCAAACCTATACACACATGAAACAATTAAAGAATGATACACTTCAATTTTGTTATATATATATATATACACCAAATTATGTTAAGTATATACCAAACATAAACATCTACATGACAATCTAATATGTAAACGTTGCGATTGTTTAAAAGCGTGTTGGTTAGTTTCCCATGAGGTACTTCGACTTGAGGCAATTCCAAATAACCCATTCCAAGTTGTACTTGATATAGACGTGGCGCAAGTGGTACAAAATTTGCATCGACATGTTCCTGTAATGAAAAACATCGGAGAAAAAATGTGAAAAAACAGTTGTTGTTTATAGTTATAAATAAGATTTGCTTAGTTTTCCAATCATGCAAATATTTTATGCAAGTAACTTAATATTAACTCACAGTGATCATTGATAAATGTAAAACATCTCTGACATTCAAACAAGACAGAAAATCATCTGATTCTGTATTCATAATTTCCGTTATGATATCTGCTTTATTCTTCCTTTCATTTTTGTTGATTTTCTCAGCCATTAATCTTGCCTTAGATTTTAGTGTACTTTTTGCTTGTTTTCCATACCATATAAAAATCTTATTGCCAGTATCCAGAACGAATACAAAACCTGGATCCAAGGAATCAAAACGAACAGGAACCGGCTCTAAGTGAATTGAAGCACCGGCAGCATGTACCCTATACAATCGTGTTATCGATGGCTGTTTAAGAGCCAACCGATTCGAAAGGAAGCAAGTCAAAGATAAAAACATAAAGATAAGAAAGATTTACTAATACTTGTCTAAATCCAATAATACAAACCGTATCTTCGACCGTATAAAAACCAGATGAGGTACGACCACCTTCGATATATGTAATGCCAGACTCGAACAGCATTAGAAATTCATCCGATTCCTCACCTTGTTCTTCTCTAGTAGTACGACATTGTGCGCCTAAGTAGTTACGTAGATTTACAGCATGAATTGCAGCACAAGCCCTTTTATCTAACTACAAAATTTAACAAGTTAAAAAGCATGGCGTTTATTTTATGAAATGTATTTCCCACTCATTGTTATATTGTTCCAAATGATTATTTCAAATTATTGAAAATTTAATTATATAATGATTATACCGTAGCTTTTTCTCCTATCCAGAAGTAAATCGCCCATATCAAGGATCCAGCTTCATCAATTTCAGTCTTTAAAACGATGTAGCAATCGCCTTCGTAAAACTTTCCATGTGCAACTTCCTCTATTTCATTGGGCAGAAAGTTTTCTATCTCCCACACAGATAAACCAGGAATTTGCCCAGCATCTTCATCAAAAAACTCGGAATAATCTAGCGGTGGTTTTTCCAGAGTTTCGTCCCATCGTTTGGGTCTTGAAAAAAGACAAAAACAAAAAGGGAAGAAACTCGTGAGTTACCAAACAGAGATATAACATAATAAATTCTTATCACACATGTTCTGTGCTTACTTCAACGATTCCACTTTAGATTCTTCACATTCTTTATCTTTGTTTTTTTCCTTTGCTATATCTTTCATACCCTAAAGGAGAAAAAAAATAATTTAACCAAATCGAATCACTTTTGCTTCTCTTCACAATACGAAGCAATAACAAAATGATGACAATAATACAGACACAAACATATTAATATATAATAGGATCCAATTAATGTTCATATGTTTAAACTTTTATTGCGAATTCTATCGGAGGATACAAAACACCGATCGTTACTATTTCTTCTCCAACCCATAGAATTATGAATGTATCGAGATATAAAGCGAAGAGCATTTAGAACGAGTAGAAAATTTATCTTGATATAAGAACTTCCTATAATCGATGGAAGATCAAATTTTCGGTATCAAGATATAGAGACGCTAATTCCAAAAACAGGGGATGATAGGATAAGTTCATTAACTGACGTGAAAATGCAAACACCAAACAAACACTATTCTACCTTTAATATTTTGGCTTGATCTTGATCAGCTTCTTCTTGATCTCGTCTTCTTCTGAGCCTCATTTTACGAGCTATTGGATCTTTGCTACCTAAAATACAACACATTTCAGTTTTATATTTTTTATAAGTGTAAATAAAATTAAATAACAATTTACGCATTATTAACGTTACTACGAGGTACAATAGGTTAATTAATTTATGATTGTTCGTATAAGTATTAAATCACAATTGAATATTGTTACTAAGCATACACTTACCAGCAGTTTGAATTGGTGTAGGTACATTAGCACCAGCAAGTCGCAATTGATGCTGTAGCGAAAAATCAATATTATAAAACTCGATACCGGAACCTTTTTGAACTTCCATAGGTTTTGGTGGCATTACTAAATTTGGATTATCCCGTAGATCAAGTTGTTCTAAATCAGTGAGAAGATGAATTGCATCTGGTACAGTGATCAATCGATTAGATGATAATATTAATTTTTTTAACGATCCACATCTAAGGAAGAAAATACATTTATGATATTTTAAATACGTATCCATGGTATTTGCAAGAAATTAGTACGTTACTTTTTTACATTAATTCGTTTGGAATACGAATTATATAGAGTAAAAAAAAGAAAGAGGAAAAGAAGAGAAAGAAAGAAAGAAGATCCATGTTCGACTTACCTACATAAACCTTCAGGTATCATTTCCAAGTGATTATTAGCTGCTGAAAATACTTGCAAGGATGATAACTTGCCAATGCCTGAAGGAATACCCTCAAAATCTAATCGGTTATCGTTTAAATACAATCTTCTGAGCGTAACAATCTTACACAGGGAAGCAGGTATTGCGGACAATTTATTACGACATATATTTAATGTTTCCAATTTTACCCAAAGTTCTAAAATCAAAATAGACTAGTATGTTCGCCGCATTAACGAAAGCTACGCAGTAATCGTGAAATTGATAACGTACCAATAGTTGTCGACAATTCTGTTATTTGATTATCACTTAAATTCAAACGACGTAAATTCGACAAAGAATAAAGTGCATCTGGTACTCGAGGTAAATTGTTTTGTGATAAATCAAGTTCTTGCAGATTAGTCAGGGTCTCCAAACTCGATGGTATATTGTTTAACGTTCTCTGCGTTTCGCGCATCTGTAGGGCCATTAAATTCATCAAGGATGGTAGTTGCCTAAACCAAAAAATAGGCGCCATCTTCTTTGGAAAATAAATGACAATTTATCACGTTGATCTTATTTATATACCTTAATTGAAAGTGCCCTAGTGGATTGTGATTTAGATTTAAAGTTTGTAAATTTGCTAAGCGACGAGTTTGAGGTGGCAGTGTTTCTAATCTATTGTCACTAAGATCCAGGAACAGTAGATCGGTTAAATGAATGAACAATGTATTAGGAATTGTATCAATGCTGAAAAAATTACAGTTGGATAATTACTACCATAAATGTCTATTGTATAATTTATATGTGTGACACCTACTGATTGTGACTTAAATTCAAATTTAACAAAGAACGAGCTCTCTCTAATCCCTCTGGTACTTCCTTTAAATTATTGTGACTCAAATCCAATGTGGTCAATTCTTCCAAGTGAAATAATTCTGCTGGAATGCCACTCGATTTAATGTTATTACGTCTTATATTCAATGTTCGCAGACAACAAAGTTCTGTTAGTTCTCCATATAATCGTTCCAATTTGTTTTTAACTAGTGAAAGATGTTCCTGTTTTTAAAAACAAAGAAAATTTAATTTTCATCGTTCACATTTTGTAGAACCATTAATAAGAACCTCAATCACGATAGCTTCATCCTGAACTTTGTGCACGCTTAAAAAATAAATGTCCATACGCAGACAGCTTTACCAGCTTCAATAATTTGCCCATTTCTTCTGGAATCTCAGTCAAGTTGGTTTCATCCAGTTTCAGCCATTGTATGCCAGTCATTAAGCGTACAGATTCTGGAAATTTGCCACCCTGTAAAAAACTAAATTGTAGTAGCTGAAAATTATGATTTCAAAACAAAAAAAACGTACTTACACCAAAGTCATTACTGCTAAAGTCAACACCACGAACAAACGGTAATACACCCGTGTTTGCCATTTCGTTTTAATTGGAGAAGATGTTTTCGTAATTGTATAAAACTTACATATGTTACGTTTGATGCTTATATATCTATAACATGTTAATATCATTTGTAAAATACACACGAAAAAACGTAAAGATAAAAATTATGTTAGTCGCTCTCAAATATTACAAAATTAAGAAAATTAATTAACAGAACAAAGAACGAATGAAGATGAAAAACCATATTAAAAAAATTGTATTGCTAGTATCAAGTCGATATTTAAGTACACTAAGCTTAAAGATTAAATAAATAACAAATGTACAATTACCAGGGGCAGATGCTGATAGAAACAGAAGAATACAATTCCGTGAGCAACTTCCAACGTAAAAGGCAATCGACGTATATGTATATCAAATTTACTGATATTTTCGAAAAGTTTATAATTGTCGCAATGATTAGCTTCAAATAATAAATAACATAAATAAGTTTATGCGTTAAATAAATCGCAAAATATCACTAACGATGCGAAGAAGATATTAAACTTTTATTGAAAATATGCAATGACATCTAATTTGGTTAGATTAACAGTATATAAGCGCGTGCGTGATAGAAATGGAGAGGGAGAGGGAGTGAATGAGTAAGTGTGTATGTGTGTGTGTGTGCGTGTGTGCGCGCGCGCGCGCGTGTGTGTGTGAGAGAGAGAGAGAGAGAGAGAGAGAGAAACTAAAATATTTTTGAAAAATTTATATTCTCTATTTTCCTCTATTTTAGATTGTTTTTCAGTATTGTCTAATTTTTTTTCTTTACATAGTCGTGAAAGCATAATTCAAAGTACGCATGTATTTATATACTGTGAGTAGCTATATAGAGATATATAGTTTTATAGACACCTAGAGACTTTTCTTAAAGATTCATGTGGACATGCGCAATGAGAAACACAATTTAGAAACTTCGATGACCATAGTGAAGTCAGAATTGTTCTGTATCTACACGACACCGGTGTGAATTGCCATACGCATATTATTTATCTCACCATACAATGTCGGCCGTAATAAACGAAGGTGATTTTTAAAACTTGATTCGTGAAAATAAAATACATTCGTTTATTCGTTTATCAATCGTTAGTTGTTTTCTTATATGACTTCAGTCGAAGAAGTAGATCAATTGGATAGCGGCATGGGTAGTAGCGATGCACATTCTCCTGAAGCAAAATTGCATCCTCCCGATAACGAGATTGACGAGGATGATGAGGAGGTATTCCATTTTGATTATGCATTAATTTTCTAAATAAATAAAATTTTTCGTTATTACTAATTGTTAATTTCATAGGCTGCAATTATAATTAATTTAAAAAAATTAACCAGTATTTCATTTTTTGCGAATTATTCTCTTTTTGTGTTTTAATTTTACTTGCAATAGCTTTTTGATGTATATTTTTCGTCAATGAAAATTTATCAAATAAAATATATAGGAACGACGTATATCAATAATATTGCGTTATCGTTACGTGATATGTAGTATTTGTATTTGGCTTCAGGATGAAAGCTTAGCAGAAAGGTTATTGGGGCTCACAGAAATGTTTCCAGGAGAAGTACGTAATTTAGGATATAATGTCGGTACTTGTTTGTGCACTTGTATGAAAGGTTTGTAATCATTAATTTTTGGTATTCAATATTATGTTATAAATAAATGATGTATCTTTGCTTTTTTGTAGGATTATATGCATTTTCATGTTCAGCAGCGTGGTTACTCTTCAGCTCATCAGCCATTTTATTTGCACCCATATTGTTTGAAATAGAACGAGTGCAAATGGAGGAAGTACAACGTATTCAGCAAAAGCAGGTTTTATTAGGACCTAGTAAAGCCATGTCAAATGTGAATGCTTCGAGTCTTCCAATGGCTCCACCAGTTCAGCAATAATAGCAATGATACCATTGATGTTATATTCAAATCACTATAAGTCTGTTATTCCATTCACTGTTTATATTTATATTAGTATAACAATTCCAAACTATTCTGTAATAATATCTCATTGACACAGATGCATCAGTCAAATAAGATTATCGTACATTATTTGTTACAAAAATTTTAATGATTTATAGAAGATTGAAACAAACTAAAGTAAATTTAAAAATAATATTAACATTTCTTTCATTCTTCCTTATTTTCTATATCTTCTGAAAATATTGATTTTTATCTCCATAAATTCAAGGACATCTTACTCTCTCATACTTAACCCTTTAACAATATCTTACTTGTTATGTAATACTAGTAAAATTGTAACACATATTTCACCTTTATCGATAAAATCATTAAATCCTTTCGTAATGTTAGCATCTATAAGGTACAGTAATGTTATTGTAATATAAAATGTTGAATAAACGTATGCTGAAGAATGTTTTTCAACATTTATTAGTAGGAATTATCAGAAAGAACATTTTCTTCTAATGATTCTAGTTTGTAGACATAACATTTTAATTTGTTTGAACTGCGTATGAATACATACAAAACTATAAATACAGGATTATTATTGTATTTTGATTTTAGGAGTGTATATATTTTTGATCACAAATATTTTAAATCATTATTAATATTACATTGTTCGTATTAATTATTAATATTATATTAATTAATATTACATTAATATTAAATTTATCATCAATGTCATATTACCAGTATATGAAAATGCAATATGCAAGGAGACTTATTCTGATTCAATAAACAGAGCACGAGGAAAGGAATATTCCTATTCATGGATATAGAAACAGATATAACAACCAGTTTCCCGTGTCAATTCAGATTTTTTACCCTATGATACCAGCAAATAAATGAAGAAATAGATATATGCATGAAACTCGGAAAGTTATGAAGAATGTAGTCAATAGTAAAGTAGTAAATATCATAAATACTATGAAGTCTATTAGGATCTCGAACTGCATAGACTAAATGGAGATTTGAGAAACCTTTTATAAAGCGAAGAATTATATAAGATATTTAAGGCAATGACTAACCAGCAGCAGTTGAATAACCTCTTTTCAAAACTAACTCTCTTCTATGCGTCTACTTGGTAAAGTTGAGAAAATCTCGAAGAAAGTAGTTTTTACTTGGTTCGTATAACCGAGGTTTACATTTCGTTCAGTTTTCAATTTTGTGAAATTATAGATTTATAACGGTTAAGATTGTATTTTGCCGAAGGTTCTTCAGTCCTAGTTAGATAAATGATTATGACAAACTAAAATAGTTGTAGCTGTTGCTAAGAAAAGCTACAGGTTTGGATAGGGTATAGGTGTATTTTAGTTAAGGTTAGTAAGAAATAATTGGCTTGATTCGGTACGGCATAGGTTTCTGTATAGTATCATTCGGTTTACGTGGGCTTATGACTTGACTTGGATGTTGTTTAGGCTTAGGATTTGTATTAATTAAGTAAGTTTTCGTTATTGCCACGGCAAGGTATAGGTTTGGTTAGATTTTGTTAAAGTTTTTTTGAGTTAGATTGGAAGTTATTAGTTCCATTTTGATTCGCATACGATTCGGCACAGCAATGTTAAAATTGACTAAGGGTATAGTTCGGTTTCGTCCAGGTTATTTTTAGTCAACTGATAAGAAAGGTAAGTATATCTTACAACAAAATAATGGTATTGGCCTGTACTACGTTTTGGTACAGTATAGTTAAGATCGGTAAAAAGCTATTATATTCATTAAGTACGTCATACAACTCGGTCGAGAATCGTCCAAATGTCAGACCGGATATGATTTCATTTGATAGGAGTTATTTTTGGAAATATGACGAACTAGCTAAGTGTCACATATCTAAGAATTGAAGTGGTACTGGTGATTCCAGCCTAGACTCCAAGATACTCGAAGATGGTCTTTGAGATGCTAGACTGGACAGCGAGTACTGCGTAGCTCTTAGCTTGGCATCGTTTGGACAATATGAAATATATTGGAAAATCTATAGATACTTTGATAGAATTCATGGAGGCAAGTCTCGAAAGATTCATGTTTGACAAGTGATGCCAATTACCAGGTCTCACCACGTGGAGGTGGCTACGGAATCGAGACCCGTGCCTAAATATTCTACTAAAATATAGTACAAAACATGGTACAAAATATAGTAGAATATATAATAGAAAATAAATGACGAAATGAATTTCAATATAATTACCACAAATGATTGCGAAAAGCAATTCAGAAGATAATACAAATTTGTTACAAAACAAATCTTAATATAAATTACAAATCAAATTACAAAATATAGTATGCCTCACATTTGCAACAAAAGAAGGGCAATTAATAATGACACGGAAATAAAAGTTGAGTAAAAGAATAGGTAATTGTTTTGGATTATTGTGATATTAAATAATAAATAATTTTTTTAAATACGCGCGCTGTCACTTGTGTTGCTTTAAAAGTCGCAACAATAGTGGAAAGAAGCACGCGAGCAGCCATATAGGACACTATATGTTTCGTGAGTTTGATTTTTTCAATTCGAATTTCAAGGGATTTCGACGAACCCTCGAATATAATGGGCATAGTATGCTCAGTAATACTGCAGAAATATGCAAAAATGAAAAATTCCTCCACGTTATGACGATGCAAAGTAGTGAGCATAATGACAAAAAATAGTAAATGACACAAAAAGAATTTATGTCAAGAAAGAAGCATACATTAATAAAAATAAAAGGAAGAAAAAATAAAAGAAATGAAAGGGAGAAAAGTGTAATTCGATTAAAAAGTTTGAGTAATTTCAAAATCAAAACAAGCCCTCTAATAATTAAAAAACATTCGAATTATTACTATTTGATTTTGGAAACTACTTTGAGGGGAATGCTTTCTTTTACTTGTATTCTGTAAAAATCGCTCGAAACAACTATGACAATGAACGAATTATGCGACTAGTACTTTCTAAATTTATATTTAGAATAGAAACTCGAAATTTCTTCAATCAAGATTCTAATGCGCCATTTAGGGAGAAAGAAAGTCGTAGCCTGATTCAATAAATATATATCGTAGGAATGTGTATTGCACAAGTGTCATTGTACATAACTACATTAGCACTCATGGTCGCTACGAAAATAAAATACAACCAGCCATCCGTACGGTTTTGGACCATTCTTTCTACGACATGATGGGTAACCAGAGGAATCGTAAACATGCGACTTACCGATCGTTGGCCTCTTTTCCATATGAAAGCAGCTTTGGAACGACTGTCGTCTTGGTCCTGGGATCAGCGTCCTGTATTATACCCTTGACACGTGGTTAATGCAGCGATGTCAACATTGGTTACAATCCCTTCCTCTTTTCTTTGAAAATACACTCGCGATGTTGCGAACACGTGCGAACTTGTTTCGGCCAATATCGAGAAAAAATATCGCGGGTGAACACATACGAACGAAAACGATTTTGGAGAAGTACGGTTATATATAATTTAAATAATTTAATTGTGATAAAAATATTTAATGTCCACTAATACTAATGAAATGAAAAAAATAAAACATGGAATATTTATTTTACTATTAAATAGATAATTAGAAATAAAAAATGAATTAAATAATTAAATGTATAATTAAATACTAAAGTAAATAAATTAAGTTAATAAATTGTTAAATATTAAATATAAATGAATAAATTAAATAAGTGAAATGAATTATTAAAAAATAAAAATAAATAAATAAATGGATAAATTATTAAAAGTTAAAACTAAATAAATAAATTAAATAAATAATTGAAAGAGAAAAATAAATAAACAAGTTATTAAAAATACGTAAACCCGTTATAATAGTTATTACATAGTTCATTGCAAATATATGCTTTGTATAATTTGCAATAACAATATGTACAGTAATTTTCATAGGTACAATTATTTTTTCATAAAGAAAAGCCATTTACTTGCTCGTAACAATAGTTTTTAACATAGAAATTTTTAAAACAACTTTTTAAAGTTAAAAAAAGGGAATAATAGCTCAAATTGATATTAAGCAAGGGGATCCCCTATGCCTCATCAGTCATCAGCCATCCTAAAATAAGGTAAAATTCGCGTTTATAACAAATTCTATAAATTTAGAAACTTAATCTTTTATATTAGAATAATGCTACCTTACGTTTATAACCGTGCGTTTATACAATTTTTTAAAAGAATGTACAATCAAGGAAATGATAATGCTTATGTATTAAATTATGTAACTATATATATACATATATAGCCTTAGTTACTACAATTCGAAAAAAATAAGTCGAAAAAAAACGAAGTCGTGATAGACAAGGATAGAGAGGAGATGCTCCGTTCTCTTTATTCTCTTAAAAGCCCGACGAACATGAAGTCACAGATGAAGGCGAGTGATTTTGTTCTTGCTAAAAAGAAAATGAAACTAGGATGGTTTTATGCTTAGATACATTTTATTCAGTTTGAAAGTTTCACATATACACAATAATTATTGACGACATAATTCTTCGGTTCTTTTCTTGTAACTTTCATTTTATTTTTTATCCTTTCTTCATTGCTCCGAAAATATAAATATGAGACAATCAATAAAAATTTTTACTTTTTACAACCTATTTATAACTAACTCTTTCTCTTTCTTTATAACTTCTAATTCTTCTTGAGCTTTTACTTCGTCGTCACTTTCTCAATAGCTATTGCGGTTTTCCGTCCTTCTTTTACTTGTAAGTCCAGGTGGTTCAACAGCTTGTTGCGAGCTTAATTTTGGATCAGTTAAATGATCATGAGCTGATTTGCTCTTACCACCAATTTCTTTATTTAATTTCACGGATTCTACTTCATCTTCCTCTGCTTCTTCACCAAATGATAAAAGATTGAAATCTCTGTAACAAAATTTTTCATTGCAAAGAACAATATTGTCAGGGCTAAATTTTGCAAATATATACGATTTTTACTTTACCGATGCTGTTTTAGTTTTTGAACTGTCCTTTACTTCTTCACGTTTCTATACTATTATTCTTGGTATAATATCAGAAAATGTATTGTTCAATATTATAGTTTCTATCCATCTTGGAGGCTAAAGTGGTCTATCAGTCTACAAAAGA